TGTAAACACATGTTCCCCTATTTGGAGATTTTTTCTCCATATAACTAATAATCTGAAGAAAGTAGTTGGTAATTTTGTCTGCTCATATTACAGTCAAACACCACTTAACATAACCAAGTTATTTTCACACCACTCCATGCCTGGCAACTCCTGACTAGACAGATATTTGCTATAGAGCCATGTCTAAGATGTCTTCTAAAGTGTAATTGGCTCTGCTCATGTTATATCGCAGATCATTTAACCCTCTCTGAGCCAATTTACAGCCTCACAAAATTGTAGTGTGGAGATAATTTTAATGACTTGCTTGAAGAGCAGAATCACCTTTTCAGGGGCTTGCTTCTGCCTAATAAACTGCAAAAAGATTGTGTTTTAATACTCACTTAATAGGTTGTATGATATATATAACAACTAGAATCCTCTACATCCCTTCTCCACTATCACCACTTTTTCTACAAGTGTAACTTATTTGTCTTTTCATTTATCCCCTTTTTTCCAGTCTGGATTTAATTCCTCCTTACTCTCTCCCCTCTCGTCTTCTCTTTGTCACTCATTCAGCTGCAGGCAAATGAGTGCCACCTCTCCTCCTTCCTCACCTCACTAACCCAGTCATTTAATCCGCTCCTCTCACCTCTATTCCCGTCATTTACCCTCCTCCCTCCTCCTCCTTGCCTGCATTCTTCCTGCTCTTCCCTACTTGTCTTTCCTTCTTTTTCTTTCAGTCTCTCATTCACACAGCTGTCCTCCCCTTGTCTCAATCTCTTTTCTGTCACAGTCGTTTCCTACATCATTCCTATCTTTCGCCATCGAGATCTAATACAGCGCTGTCCATGTGACTGATATACTCGTTCTATCATCGCTGTCTACCATGACGTTCACTATCTGTTCCTCCTCTTCACCTCCCGTGTGCACCATTTCCTCACTAATCCCTGCCAAAACACTATCAATTTTTCATCCAATAAACTCACTCATTAACTCACAATAATACAAGAAGAAAGCAGCAAAGACGGATTTGTATACAACACAGCATATGGATAGTAAGCTTTGCAGGCATCATTAATTCGTTGCTACAGATGGTGCAAGGCTTGGATTTTTTCAGGTATAGCTGCATAAAAGTGAGAGGATTCAAGATTCTAATTGAAACACTAAGGTATGTAAAGCAATATAATCTCAACTCAGATTTTATTTGAAAAAGGTTACTCATCCCAGTGGTTCCAAATGATGGTCAACATGAGCTGTGTGTTTGCCAGAAAACTCTTTCTACAGGTGGCACTCTTTGTCTGTTCAGTTATGGTTGCCTGCTCGTGCTAATTAACACACACTGTTTTTGTGTTTATTCCAAAAAATGTAAAACGCATCACATTTTACATTTCCCGTCCTTCAGGAATTTCAACTGACTCATAGGCATTTCGTTTGTTTGTCATAGTCAAGTGGTAGAGACTATGAAAACAATGTTTCTTTTAGTTCACTAGTATCTACTCTTTACTTGATTCTCCTCTTCCACTTTCCCTGTTCCATCTCTTTACCTTCTAAAATCTCATTGGAATACTGTAATTTGTAAGATTTTATATTGACACAAAAAGTCTCCACACAGACACTTTCAGGATGT